CGGCTGTGGGAGGCAGCTGTTGGGGAGGGAGTGGGATCCGGAAGCTGGTATCTTGGGGGGTGGGGGAAAGATCTCGATTATCCTGGCAAAGGGGATGAGATCCCAGTGGAGCCAGCGCGCTGGGTGACAGTGGGGCCCAGTCATTGCGGGTCCAAGACCCCTGGGCTCCCATAGCTGAGAGTCCTCAAGGCCTGGCTGCCCCGAGCTTTTGGGGGACACCTGGGGCACCACCATGCCCCCTCCCAAAAATGACTACTGAAGGGAGGCCCTGGGGTCAGGGGCTTGGAGATTGAACCCCCGGCACTGGCCCCACAGCTGTGGCTCCTGTCCTGTGGGGCTGGGCTCAACTCCTGACTTTGAGCATCGTAGCCTGGTGCACCGGGGCACAGAGGTTGGGGGCTCTTTCAACTGGGGGGCTCAGGGCAAACTGTCCCTCTGCCCTCCCCCCATCTGGGTGGCCTTGGTAGTCGTCCTTGGTGTCTGTCTGCTGTGAGAACTTGGCTTTGGTTCTCAGCAGGCAGGAAGGAAAGACCACAGTTCCCAGCAGGCTGCAGTGCAGGTCGGAGCTCGGCCCTCACGTGTCTAGAGCTGGCCACACATTTTTCAGCCAAGCTTTTTCCACGGAAAAACGTTCTTTGACTCAATGGCAAGGGTTGTGTTGTCGTTGCAAGGCCGGTGTTGGAAAGCGTACGCACAAAACGTTCCACTTTTCAGCTGCCAAAAAACAATTTTTGGTTTGTTTTTGACAAAACCTCAACAAATTCCCAAGAAATTTTTGATTAAAATGTAAAATGTCCCCAGGAAAGCCCCTTCCTGGCAGCCGGATTCAGCCGCAGCGCATCAGCGTTCCCACCGACGGGCTGAATCCGGCTCCAGCACCGAGGTATTTCTGTCCCTGGTGCTAACTCGGGGCGAGGTCTCTTGTTCCCAAAGCCATGCCAGCTACTCTCCCTGCCCGTGGGCAGCTCGTTGCATCGCTGGGTGGGACCAGCTCGCCCCACATGGCTTTACATGCTGACCTGGGGGCAGGCCCCGTCTCTCCTTGCACCGTTCATCGAGCCCTTCCCCCTCATCTCCCTAGAGCCCGTCTCGCCCTGGGCCTGGGCCCTGTTTGCGTCTCGGACCCTGTATCCTGCAGGGGCCCTGCCCATGCCGGTGCTGGGTAGCCCTTGCTTTGCCAGTTGGGTCTCCTGCCGCGTTCTCGGGGGGAAGAGCGTCTCTGATCCCCGAGTGCGCCAGGCTGGGGGAGCGTCTGTTCTAGGGCGGGGCTGGGCCCGGGGTCTCCGGGATTCGGATTAGCAGGGGGCTCATGTAGGGTGACCAGTGTCCGGAACACCCTGGTCGAAAAGGGACCCCGGCGGCTCCGGTCAGCACCGCTGACTGGGCGGTTAAAAGTCCGGTGGGCAGCGCTGCGGCATTAGGGCAGGTTAATCCCTACCTGTCCTGGCACCGCACTGCGCCCCAGAAGCGGCCAGCAGGTCCGGCTCCTAGGCGGGAGCCACCCAAGCTGAGCCTGCGCCCCTGCCCAGCCCTGAGCCCCCCCCAAATCCAGACTACCCTCCTGCACCCCAAACCCCTCACCCCTGGCCCCACCCCAGAGCCTGTGCCCTCACCCCCTTCACCTCAACCCCTGCTCCAGCCCACAGCCCCCTCCCACACCCTGAACCCCTCATCCCTGGCCCCAGCCTGGAGCCCTCACCCCCCTGCAGCCTGCATCAACCTCTGCCCCAGCCCAGAGCCCCCTCCCACACCCTGACCCCCTGCCTCACCCCGCAGCCCCTCCCGCACTCCAAATCCCTCGGCCCCACCCCCCAGCCTGGGGCCTCGGGGAAGGGGCGGGACCTCAGGGAGGGGGCGGGGCTAGGCTGTTCGGTTTTGTGGGACTAGAAAGTTAGCAACCCTAGGCTGGGGGTGGCTGGAATCCGGAGGGGCGGGGGGTGATTTCTCTGTATTCCCCTAGCGCCAGGAGCCCAGTCCCAGCCCCGCCCCGCCCCGCTGCGCCAGGCGCTGCACACCCCCCGGAGACGGTCCCTTTCCCCGGGGCTCCCGGAGGCGAGACTCCAGCTGGAGCCAGGCGGCCGGGGGGGGGCTAGGGGCGCTAGCCGGGGTCTCCCCTGGCACGGGGGATGCTGGGAGTTGTAGTTCTGCCCTTCCCACCGAGCCGGAACAAAGCCCCAGCGGCGAGCCCCGCTCCAGCTCCCGGCTCCGAGCGCCCCCGGGCCGGTCCCGCCGCGCGCTGGCTCCCAGGGGCCCAGCCCGTCCGCCGGGCCGACCGCTTCCCGCCCCGCCCGGAGCGGGGACCGGCCCCCGGCCCGCCGCCTCCCCCGGCCCCTGCGCCCTCCCGTGCGCCCAGGGCGCGCCGCGCTGGTCCTGCGCAGCCATTGGGGGCGCGTCGCGGCTGGGAGCGGAGCGCAGCGCAGCGGCCGGAGGCGGCGGGCGGGCCATGCCGGCGCAGGTAGGGCTGGGCCGGGGGCGTGGGGCTGGAGGGAGCCGAGCCCGGGCTGCGGGGAGCGGGGGAGCCCGGCGCTCTGTGCGCGCTCGGCCCCCAGCCCTGCCCGTGGCTGGCGGCCCCGGCACCTCTCGCCCTGCCTCGGTGTGTCAGTCTCCAGCCCCGGGCGGTCACGCCGAGGCCGGGCGAGAATCGGGCCCCGGGCCTGACCTGGCTGCCTTGCTTGTCCTGCCCGGGAGCAGCTGGCAGGTTTGTTATTGTAGGGTAGCCTGGAAGCGCTGGGGCTGTGGGAGCCGCAGCAGGTGTGACTATCGGGTCCCACCTTTGTCTGTAGGGTGAGGGTCTCCCCTGCCAGCCCAGCCTGACGGGGTCTCCCTGGGAGGGGAGCGAGGAGCCGCCTGAGAAAGTCTCACCGCCAGGGGCCTTCTGGCAACCACAGGGCAAAACGCAGAGGCTGGTGCCAGGGGGTGGGACCCCACTGCACAACTCAGGGCAGCCCCAGAACTGCTGGGCTGCAGCTGGGATCCTGCATGGCCAGACACACAGAGGGAGGGGAGCCAGACCCGCTAACAGATGAGCAGGATCTCCGGAGATACACACCTGCGCCCCTGGGGGGGGGCGTGTCTGCAACAGCAGTAACACGTGTTTTGTCTGGAAGGAGCCCTGAGGTGCTCCTCGTGCATCAGTGTGAATCCAGGGGACCCACAGTCCTGTCCCCCACTCCCGGGTCGGCCCCAGCCCCTGGGAATTCCATCCATTGGGGCACGGAGCCAGGACTAGGGGCTCGTTAGCCGGACTAGCCTTGTGTGAAAGAGGCTAATATAATGCGCCCTCCTCCCTCCCTCCCCCCCCCCCCGCAGCACTGACGTCCCTGGGAGCTTGGCCTGACTCAAGCACCAGGCTGGGATAATGGTTCTTCTAGCACAAGCTGTAAGTCGTGAGAGGTTAGAGAACCGTCTGGGGAGCCTGTGTGTGTCTAACCCCTGCCTCTGCCTGGCTGGACTGGAGCCGACGGTGCTGAGTGGGCCACGGTTGCATTTCAGGCCCCAGTGACGTTCGAGGACGTGGCGGTCTATTTCTCCCCGGCGGAGTGGGCGGCGTTAGCGGAATGGCAGAGGGAGCTGTACCGGGCCGTGATGATGGAGAATTACGAGCTGGTGGCATCTTTGGGTGAGGATCCCTTTATTAGCAGGAGCAGCAGCGTCTTGGACACGCCAAGGCTGGCTTCAGGGGGATCTCACATTCCCATGGGACTCTGGCACTGACGTATGTGTAGAAAGCCTGGCGGGTGGCTGAACATCGGAGACGTCCCACCTGACGAGGGCGCTGCAGTGCTGTACTCCGTGGCGGGACGTGTTCTGGGCCCAGTGCGCTGGTGGGCCTGGGCAGTTCATCCATCACTTTCAGCCCCCTATTTGTTGGTGCCATCCCAGCAGGGGTATGCCGATAGCCGGGGGGTGCCTCCTAATGGAGGGCATGTCCCCCCAAGCTCTGCCATTAGAGTGCATAGCCTGGCTGTCGGTGCTTAATGTGTAATGAAAGACCGGTTGGAGCTGATCCCCAGCACAAATTAAGCACTGTCTGGACAGTCGGAGAGTGGCCGGGCGACTGGGGGTGGCTGCTGGCCAAATGCCCACCTCTGAAGGCAGCGCTGTCGTCAGCAGCAGCGCAGAAGGGAAGGTGGTATGGTGTGCGATACTGCCACCCTTACTTCTGTGCGGCCGCTGGCAGGGGCGCTGCCTTCAGAGCTGGGCGTTCGGAGAGAGGCGGCTGCTGCCCGGGAGCCCAAAGGTGCCAGGGCTATGAACTGCCAAGCCTGGAGGTGCTGGGGCACGGCGTGCTGTCCCGTTGGACCCAGCTCCTGGACTCTCGGGATTAGCTTGTGAGAACTGTTCAGTGATCCAGGTCCCTGTGACCTCTCCGCTGGGTTACTGCCAAGCTGCCTTCACGCAGTTCCCAGGGCCTTGAGCTGGTGAAGGATGTCTTAGCAGCAGCCGTGGGCACATACCCTGGGCCCTGCACCAGCTGCCTGTTCACTCCCAAGTGCAATCCAAGGGGCTGGGTGCTGGCTGTGGGTGCTAGATGGCCCGGGACCCAGCTGTCTGAAAGGCAGCCAGTATCCTATCACGGGAACTACCAGCTGGGGGCAGCTCGCAAGAGAAATTCCCGTTGCAGACAATGGCTGGCGCAGTGCGTGTTGGCAAGGCCCTGGCAACTGCAGGACACAGCACGTGTTCTCTTGCCCATGAACAGGCTCCGTGGGCCCCAAGCCCAAGGCATCGGCTAGAAAAGCAAAGCGAGAGAAGGCGCCGTATGTCTGGGACCATCAGTACTCGAGAGCGAAAGTCCTGATGCTTCCAGCACAGGGGAACGACACCCCAAACGAGGTGAGACCCGCTCCGGTAAGGAGAGCGAAGTGCTGGACGCTCAGGCTCTGGGCAAGAGAGGACCAAGGGAAAGGCCCCGGGCTGGCCAAGGGGTGGGGCACCAGCACAGTGCCAGCTAGGTTTTAGGCCTCTGGGTAGCAGAAAACCTTTTTTAACACCAGCCGGCAGCCTAATGCCCCTGTCAGTGCCTGGGGCTTCCCTGATTTCTGCTTTAGGAGCATCGCTAATTGCTGGTTCATAAGCACGTAAGACGGCTCAGGGCCTTTCCCGTCCAGGCGGCCGGCTGCCGTGCCACGGGGGGTGAGGGCAGAGGGTCCCTGGGGCGTGGCTCAGCAGGGCTGTTCTGTTGCAGGTGCCGGTGACCTTTGAGGAGGTGGCGGTCTATCTCACCACCGAGGAGTGGAAGGAGCTGAAGGACTGGCAGCGGGAGCTGTATCAGGACGTGATGAAGGAGAATTACGAGCTGGTCACCTCTGTGGGTAAAGAGCCCTTTATTGGGGCAGTGGCGCTGTCTGCTACCCAGGGCTGGCTTCGTAGCCTGCTCTCCTGGGACGTGGGCAGAACGTGCCCCGACTAGTCTTCATTTCGCAGTGAGACTCGGTGGCTTCCTAAGGCAGGTGTGTCATAAACACACCAGCCCCGACAGAAGCCAGCCAGCGTGTGCGTTCGACTCCCGTCGGGGCGCTGGCTAGCTAAGCCATTTGACAGGCCGTCCAAACCTTGTCTTCCATCGAACAGGAGACACCGTGGAGAAACCGGAGATTGTCTCTAGGCTGGAGCGCGGGGAAGAGCCGTACGACCCCAGAGAGAGACGCATTCCTGGTCCCCACGGCGTGGGTGAGTGGGGCCAGCAAAGCTCCTGGAGTCGGGGTCCCTGTGCCAGCTCCTGGCACACGGCACTTTGTTGTGCTGGCCACAGTGGTGCCCAGTTCAGGAACGTTTCCGGCCCTGCGAGTGCGGTGCCTGGCGCTGAGGAGGGCACGGGCCTGAGCTCCAAGCGGCGGGTCAGTCAGTGCGTTTGTCATTGCCGGGGCAGAGCCCACGGGGTCCCTCCGCCCCCTCCCGCCAGGGCCAGCAGGGGGGACCGGTCCTGTGGGATGTGCAGACAGAATCGGGAGGAGTTTCCCTCTCCCTTCTGACAGTGTCACGCTGTGAGAGCGTCACGGCAAGGCGGGCAGAGGCTGGAGCTAGTCTGGCTAGCAGTGACCCAACAGGACCCGCTCTTGGTAAAGAGCGGGTGTGGGTGAGACGCGCCTGAGGGCAGGGACGTCACATGCAGGGAGGACCCGGGGGCAGGCTCTGAGCTGGCAGAGCTGTAAACAGGGACTGGTCCCGGGGGAGTTTCCACCTGAGTTTGCCCCACAGAGAGTCCCCGGGGCCCGTAGCTGTGTCCCCAGGACCCCCCGACTCCCCAGCACACGGAATAACGCCTGGACGCTCCTCTCCCGGCAGGTGGTGGGACCCGGGGGGCTGATGAGGAGGGGACGCGTCACGAGGAAGAGCCGGCAGGACTGGACCCGAGCGAGATGCTAACTGGGAGAGATGCAGCGAGAGTTTCCCTGGGCTCGGCCAGGACCGGAGCCAGCGCCAGTCGGAGTCAGCGCAAAGGGCGCCCGGGCCAGGGGAGGCCTGTGTGGAACGGACACGATGAACCCCTGTGGGGCGAGAGGCGGGTCAGGGACTCCCCAGCCAGCGCTGAGCTCCAGAGCAACGGGGCCCCAGAGAGACCCTGCCCAGCGCCTGAGAACCTGGGGGGCAGCGTGGGGACGGGAGCCGTGCCTGTAACCCCCATTGCAGAGGGGCCGTGTGGGGGGAGCATTGGGCAGGGCGGGAAGCCAACAGAGGAGCACGCTGCCCCTGGGGGCGGGGGGCCCTACAAGTGTGGGGAGTGTGGGCAAGGCTTTGGCAGCCAGGCCTCCCTGGCCAAGCACCGGCGGCAGCACGCCGGGGTGGGCGCCTTTCCCTGCAGCCAGTGTGGCAAAGCCTTCAGCAACAAGGGCAACCTCCTGCGGCACCTGAAGCTACACAGCGGGGAGAAGCCGCACGGCTGCGCGGAGTGCGGGCGGCGCTTCCGCACCAAGCAGACCTTCCTGTCGCACCAGCGCGTGCACACTGGGGAGAAGCCCTTCGCCTGCCGCCAGTGCGGGCGGAGCTTCACGCGCAAGGAGAACCTCGTGCGCCACCAGGAGACCCACGTGCACAAAGAGCCCCACACTTGTCCCGAGTGCGGCAAGAGCTTCCTGCATGAGGGCTCGCTGCTCCTGCACCGCCG